AGGCGAATTTTCGTGTGCCAATTTTCGTGTGCCCAATCTTGCCCCAGTCACATGTATTTTAAGCAGGTGTCCGCGCAAGCTAGTGGTAGTGGCCAGCTTAAAGAAATATTTGGATGCTAGGAAAAAAATTCTCACCCCGCAGCATGCGAAATGCCTGTAATTAAAATAAGTCAAGATTGGTCAGTCGTGTCTCATAAGGAAGGTACGCTTGGCCTCGCACAAACTTAGTTGCGCGTCCTTGTACTCTTTTAAGGGTTTTTCTGTCTTTGACTGTCCAATGTTCCCAGTGTTTTACAGCAAACTCAGATTGGGGTCGTTCAAACTTCCAAAGACCTTACCGAAGTATATTTCGTCGACCTTTGCAAAGGCGCGCTTAATGAGATACAAGGTGGGCATTGCGAATTTGACCACCTTAAAGCAATAGCGCGATGGATTTAGAAAAGGCGTAAACCACACCCCTAGACCCTTCTGGTTCTCTACGTCTGGCAATGGCATGCAATTCGTGGTTCATCCTCTGATACGAAGAGTTGGACCTACCGAAGCGCATAATGTCGTATTTGGCGACATTGAATGGCTGGAGCTACTTGTTTGACCATTGCTTCAGTCGGTGTGAATTTGCTTTATCGTCCTCGTTACGGATGACCTTCCAGAGTTTTAAATCGTCGGCGAACATTACGGTTTCGCAGTCTAATCCGTTTATGCTGTCCTCGATATATATAAGGAAGAGGATAGGGCCCAGAACGGAACCCTAGGCAACCCCGCTATCAATCGCTACCCCCGTCGATCACTGATCACCAAGATATACGGTCTGAGTTCGGCCATTCAGAAAGTTTTCGATCCATCGAAAAAGGTTGCCTCTTACCCCTATTTGTCTGAGTTTGTATAGGAGACGTTGATGAGGCACAGCGTCAAATGCCTTCTTGAAGTCTATGAAGACTGCGTGCACAGTGCTTCCTTGATCGAGTACTCTGGTCCATGGTTCAAGACAGTAGAGCACATTTGTCAAGCAGGACCGTCCTCTACGGAATCCGTGCTGTTGGTCAGAAAGAATTCAATGACGCTCTAAGAATTGCATCAACTCTATTTTGACAATTCACTCCATTATCTTGCAACATATGCAAATAAAGCTTATTGGCCTGTGGTTTTTTTTGGACGCCAGACTTCCACTTTTTTGCATGGCTGCGATCCACGCTGTATTTTAGTCGGGTGGCAATTGGCTTGCATTTAAGAAGGCCCCAAAGAGTTAATGCAGGGATTCTGTGAAGTCCACGACTAGCTCTTTTAAAGGCTTTGTAGGTATGCCATCCGCAACTGGCGACTTTGTTTCTTGGAGTTCTTGAAGTTCTTGCAGAACAGTAACTTCCGTGAACTCAGCTTAGTCGATGGTCAGAATATCTTCTGTACTAAAGTTGGTAACAGTTAGCTCAGTTTCCCTTGTAAAATCCGACTGAAAGAACTCGGTTGGCGACAGATGTTTGATTACTCTTCCACGGCCCGGCAGGCAAGGATTGGCTGCAGCGAACGCACAATTTCGCGGAAATATCTGGCGTGCACACCCAGCTGGCATTTGCCTCTGTACTGTCTATTTCCGGGCAGAAAACGTTTTTCCACCAACACCGTCTTCATTGACTTGTGATTTGGGGGTACCTGTAGCGGGTCGTGCCTGGCAGACTAGCTCGCATCGAAGTGCACTTTCTCAAAGGCTCGCCGATGCGGTTTTTGACGCCTCGATCAGCCAATCACGATCCCCGCATCTACGCTCAAAAGCCAGGCGACGAATGGA